AGTCACCCCCTCACTCTAGTGACAGTGAGGGAGGGTGTGACTAGTGACAGAGTGAGGGAGGGAAGTGGTGACTAGTTGACAGCGTTAGGGAGGGAAGGGGGTGACTAGTGACAGAGGGAGGGGTGACTAGGGACAGAGTGAGGGAGGTGGTGACTAGTGACTAGTGACTAGTGACAGTCACCACCTCCCTCACTCTGTCACTAGTCACCACCTCCCTCACTGTGTCACCCCCTCCCTCTGTCACTGGTCACCCACTCCCTCCCTCACTCTGTCACTAGTCACCCCTTCCTTCCCTCTGTCACTAGTCACCCCTTCCCTCACTCTGTCACCTGTCACCCCCTCACTCTGTCACCCCCTCACTCTGCCACCCCCTCACTCTGCCACCCCCTCACTCTGTCACCCCCCTCACTCTGTCACCCCCCTCACTCTGTCACTAGTCACCCCCCTCACTCTGTCACTAGTCACCCCCCTCACTCTGTCAATAGTCACCCCCTCACTCTAGTGACAGAGAGAGGGAGGGGGTGACTAGTGACAGAGAGAGGGAGGGTGTGACTAGTGACAGAGAGAGGGAGGGGGTGACTAGTGACAGAGTGAGGGAGGGTGTCACTAGTGACAGAGTGAGGGAGGGTGTCACTAGTGACAGAGTGAGGGAGGGTGTCACTAGTGACAGAGAGAGGGAGGGGGTGACTAGTGACAGTCACCACCTCCTTCACTCTGTCACTAGTCACCCCCTCCCTCACTCTGTCACTGTGTCACCCTCTCTCTCACTCTGTCACTAGTCACCCCCTCCCTCACTCTGTCACTAGAGTGAGGGGGTGACTAGTGACAGAGTGAGGGGGTGACAGAGTGAGGGAGGGGATGACTGGTGACAGAGTGAGGGAGGGGATGACTGGTGACAGAGTGAGGAAGGGAGTAGTGACAGAGGGAGGTGGTGACTAGTAACAGTCACCACCTCCCTCACTCTGTCACTAGTCACCCCTTCCTTCCCTCACTCTGCCACTAGTCACCCCTTCCCTCACTCTGTCACTAGTAACCCCCTCACACTAGTGACAGAGTGAGGGAGTGACAGAGTGAGGGAAGGGGATGAATGGTGACAGAGTGAGGGAGGGGATGACATGTGACAGAGTGAGGGAGGGCGTGACTAGTGACAGAAGGAGGGAGGGAGTATTGACAGTGAGGGAGGTGGTGACTAGTGACAGTCACCACCTCCCTCACTCTGTCACTAGTCACCCCTTCCTTCCCTCACTGTGCCACTAGTCACCCCTTCCCTCACTCTGCCACTAGTCACCCCTTCCCTCACTCCGTCACTAGTCACCCCCTCACTCTAGTGACAGAGTGAGGGAGTGACAGGTGACAGAGTGAGTGACTAGTGACAGAGTGAGGGAAGGGGTGACTGTCACTAGTCACCCCATCCCTCTGTCACTAGTCACTCCAGCCTAACTCTGTCACTGTGTCACCTGCTCCCTCACTCTGTCACTAGTCACCACCTCCCTCACTCTGTCACTAATCACCCTCTCTGTCCTTAGTGACAGAGTGAGAGAGGGGGTGACTAGTGACAGAGAGAGGGAAGGGGTGACTGTCACTAGTCACCCCATCCCTCTGTCACTAGTCACTCCCTCCTAACTCTGTCACTGTGTCACCTGCTCCCTCACTCTGTCACTAGTCACCCCCTCCCTCACTCTATCACTAATCACCCTCTCTGTCCTTAGTGACAGAGTGAGAGAGGGGGTGACTAGTGACAGAGTGAGGAAGGGGGTGACATAGTGAGGGAGGGGGTGACTAGTGACATAGTGAGGGACGGGGTGACACAGTGACAGAGTGAGGGAGGGAGTGACTAGTGACAGAGAGGGATGGGGTGTCTAGTGACAGAGTGAGGAAGGGGGTGACTAGGGAGAGAGGGGGTGATTAGTGACAGAGTGAGGGAGGGGGTGACTAGTGACAGAGGGAGGGGTAACACAGTGACCGAGTAAGGGGGTGACTAGTGACAGAGTGAGGGAGCGGGTGACACAGTGACAGAGTTAGGGAGGGAGTAACTAGTGACAGAGAGAGGGATGGGGTGACTAGTGACAGTCACCCCCCCCTCACTCTGTCACCAGTCATCCCCTCACTCTGTCACCAGTCATCCCCTCACTCTGTCACTAGTCACCCCTTCCCTCCCTCACTCTGCCACTAGTCACCCATTCCCTCACTCTGTCACTAGTCTCCCATTCCCTCCCTCTGTCACTAGTCTCCCCCTCTCCTTCCCTCTGTCACTAGTCTCCCCCTCTCCTTCCCTCTGTCACTAGTCACCCACTCCCTCACTCTGTCACCAGTCACCCCCACTCACTGTGTCTCCCCCTCACTCTGCCACCACTCAACCCCTCCCTCACTCTGCCACCAGGTACCTCCTCACTCTGCCACCTGTCACCTTCTCCCTCACACCCTCTGTCACCTGTCACATATGCATTCACACAGACACTATATACAAAAAAGCACATGTAGTCATCCAGACATGCACAAGTGCATTCACACAGACTCAAATACAAACATGCATTGATACACAGGTCTTCACAATACACACATCCAAAGGAATGCCGTATTATGAATTACATTTAACATTTATTAAAATGCACATATATTTGGCCTTCAAAGGGCCTGGGATCTAATTTTGCCCGGGGGCCCCAAAGGCTCTCAGTCCGCCCCTGGATGCAAACCATCTTTTTTGTACAGATTATTTCCATTCCAAACAGAGCTACCATGAGAAATAAAGCCAAATCCTTGCTCTCGATTCTGTACTCTAAATTGAAGTCCCTAATACACATCCGCCTGTCGTTCTGAGTGTTATGCACAGGCAGAACTTCAGAGAATGACAGTGTGGAAGCAACCTGCCGTATATCATTGGAAAAACACTAATAACTTCCTTAACCTCTGAAACCTCATTGCAAGCCAAGTAATTTGTCCCTAGATGGACAAGTACATCCAATTCCCCTTCCTGCTTTGCTTGCTTAACAATATTACAGATACGTCTCCTGTCTCTGTGAGCAGTAGCTCCGGGAAGCCTCAGTGCCTCTCTCCACAACACCACTAACCTCAGTGCCCCTCTACACAACACCATTACCATCTGAAAGTGCAGAAAATGAATTATGTAGAACAATAGACTGTGCAATATGCCTTTTATCCACAACTCTAAGTCTACCAGATCCTACAGTAATCCATCTGCCATTCCTAGTATGTCTCTGCGGCAGTGGCTTTGCAGTAGTTTGTCAGAGTATTTATATCGGCAGACATTTTGTGCTAAGATAGAAACTAAAAGTGTATATTCTGAGTCACTCTGAACAGACCAGACTCCATTTTGTTATTCCAAGTTAACAAAGACAAAGAGACACAGGATTTCTTTCTGTAAGACTGGCCTCTTTGCCAGAGCTAAGGAATGCATAGTATAAACAAGTGATAAGAAGAATATAATCAAATCTAAACCCAGACAATTGTGACAGAGAAGATTAAATAATTTAATATTTAACTGTCTATATATATATAAGGTACCATTGTATGGAAAAGGGTAAACTTAGTTCATGATCTGTCATATCAGAAATTATAGTAGATTTGCAGACACATAGTCTGGACAAAATTTAAGAACCCCTTTGATCTTTGAAGGATACGTAAGTTATAGCCACTATCTAGATAGGCCAAAATGACGTCAAAATAGCCACCAGGAAAAGTTAACTCTTTCCTGGATAGGTATGTTTAGTGGGACAAGACTGCCCTCTACAGACCAAATAAACTAATTGATTTGCTCTAAATTAAGATAGATATCTTTTAGACAAATTAAAAATCTGCTTATATAATGTTAGATTCTCTTATTGGATGGTTTAAGAAAATGAATTTAAACTGGTTAAATGTTATTTTATTTAAAAATTACATAAGAATAGATCTTAACTACCTAGGAGATCTAGCCAGCATTGAAAGGGTTATTCTAACTGTCTGCTAAACTTTACGACCTTACGCTGCACTTTGAGGAATTCTGTTCTTCGCTGTGAAAAGTTTCACTTTCAGTCTGTGGAAGCTAGTCATAAATCGTAGAAGTCTTGACAGATAATGCTATTTAGCCATTGAAACGTAATACCCATTTCTTTGTATTGCATACCATTTTATACTGAATATTCATTGATTATTGTTATGCATGTTACATATATTATTATTAATTATTGGTTATCATAAATAAAAATCTATTTTTATATAAACTGTGAATAATTTTTATATGGTATACATTTCACTTAACACGATAAACGTTCTTTGGGATCTGAGAATTGAATTAGTGGGCAATTCTCACTGTTACTATTATTATCCCATAAATATCCCCACAAGTTCCAGTCTGAGTTTGTTCACCAGATAATTTACAAATCTCAGACTTCAAAAATACAATCTCCTGCCTCAAGATAGAGAACGGTCTACAGATTAGACAACAACCAAACCTCCAAAAAGTGGAACGTGAAACAAATGCATAGCAACTATTACACTGAACTAAGTCTGCCATTCCAATGAGGAAAATAATTTAAATCAAACAAATCTTAACTTTTTATTTATCCTCCTGAATACCTCAGATTACCTCCAGAATATCTCCAACTACACAGTTAGAAGCAACACTTAGATGAAGCAACCAAGCTATATTAGCCAAGCTAATAACAACCCTTATATAACTCCTAAAATCACCACCCACTAGGAATGTTTAACACCTGGGTAGTTCTCTGCTTATTTGCAAACAATAGCTAATTAACCAGCAATCAATAGCAAGTAACTAGCTTAATCAAATCAAATGCCTTGTAATTACAAACAGGAATTCAAACCTTGTGCAATCAGTAACCTTTTCCTACAGATGAATCTTACCTGTAACAGTAGAAAATAAAGCTCTTGGCACAACTCTTAGACAGCTGAAGCTTCTGTAAAACTCTCCAGAATATCTCCAACTACACACTAAGAAGCAACACTTAGATGAAGCAACCAAGCTATATTAGCCAAGCTAATGACAACAACCATTATATAACTCCTAAAATCACCACCCACTAGGAATGTTTAACACCTGGGTAGGCCTCTGCTTACTTGCAAACAATAGCTTATTAACCAGCAATCAATAGCAAGTAACTAGCTTAATCAAATGCCTACCAAAAGGCATACCTATAGTAGCTATAAGTGACCACCCCCTTGTGTTCCAGACCAACATCAATCCAAATGTAAACATTTGGTTCTATCTCCTCTTATGTACTTGCCACAGAAATAATAATTGAATCTATGAATTTTTTTTTACAATTCCACAGATATGTCACACTCCTTACTTGTGACCCAATATAGCGGACATCCCAATCCCTTCCCCTATGGCTAAGTTACACAAATCATGTTTGAGCTTTATTAGAAGATTGTGCTTGTCCCATTCTAAATATAATAAAAATGAGGGTTAATTATTAATCTGTGGATATTAATTATTTTGGATATGATACTGGAACACAAGGTAATGGCTATTAACATATCAAAGGACCCCCACCCTATCTAAGAGGGAATCTAGACATATGGCAAATTGGAGAGTTAGTTTATATTTAAACCAGACTTCCAGGCCACTTATGTGTGACTTCTCACACCTTGCAGAGCCTTTGATTAATCAAAGGATCAATCCAAATGGTAAACCATCTGACCCCTTTCACATTTCTATGCAACTTACATTACCCCTTCTGTCATCTGACTTCTGCCAAGTGGCCAATTCATATATGCACTACATGAATTACATTAAATGGCAATATTCTATAGTGTAACAATGAATTAT